TAATTCTAAAATTTCAAATTGTAATAATCAATATCATTCTTCATTACCTATAAGATAAACAATGGCCGGTGGGGTGGCAGCTGGTGCTGGAAGAATGGCCGGAGGACCCGGTGGAGCACGTGGAGGCTGATAAGTCTGCGGAGGTGCACCCCTCCTGGCTCTGGGGAAATCTCTAACCAGGTGACGAGTGTCACCACACTCAAATCAACCTTTCAGAGGACGTGATGGCTGAGACTGACTCAGACCTGGCCTGCTGGACTGGCCGGTAATAGCGCCTCGAGTAGGAGACATACTGGATACTAGCAGTGCATAATAGGGCTCCTGAGGTCTAGGAGGAGCTGGAACACCACTGGCTGTTGGAAGAGCTGAATGAACATGGCGACTCACAAAACCCCTACCATAGCGTGCTGCTGGTGCACGAGCTCCTGAATAATGACCAGTCTCTCGAGACCTCTTGGCCTCTCTCTCCTCTCTGTCCCGGGCAAACATGCCCTCCACCCTCCTGGCAATTCTCACTGCCTGCTGATAAGTGATATCCATCTCCAACTCCCTGGCCATACTGGTCTGAATACTGGGGTGGAGTCCTTCAATGAAGCGACGAACCCTCTTTCTGACTGTAGCAACTAGAGCTGGTGCATGGCGAGCTAACTCACTGAAACAGACTGCATACTATGACACAGTCATAGCACCCTGACGCAACTGCTCAAACTCTATGCGCCAAGCATTCCTGAGGCTCTGAGGAACATACTTACGCAAGAACATCTCTGAAAACTGAGTACAAGTGAGTGAGGCTGCCTCGTCCGGACTACTCAGCTCATAGGCACGCCAACACTGATATGCTGCTCCCCTCAACTGGAAAGTGGTGAAAGAAACCCCACTCGTCTCCACAATGACCATAGTGCGGAGAATACAATGACACTCCTCAAGAAAACCCAGAGCATCATCTGAAGCTAGTCCGCTGAAAGTAGGTGGGTGGTACTTCTTGTACCTCTCAAGTCTGAGCTGCTCTGCCTCAGAAGCAGCTACCCTGATCTCATGCTGAATCTGAGCCACTGGGGGCATATGAATATACTCTAGGTCCTGATCAACCTGGACCCTCAGCGCAGGAGTGCGGGCTGCGGGAGTCTGTGCCCCTCCCCCGGCCTGAGATGTAGCAGGAGCTATCGGGAATAGTCCAGCCTGAGCCAGAGTACTGAACATGCTCAAGAACTGAGCTAAAGTCTCCTGGAGGGCTGGAGTAGCAATATGGATCTCCGGTGCTGGCCCTCCAGCTGAAGCTGCTGGGGGCTCCTCTGATGCAGCTCTCGCAGGTGCTCAGGCTGCACCGCGTGGTCGTCCTCAACCCCGACCCGGCCTCTGGCGGCTCTGGCAGGGAGCTCGAGTGCCTGATCGTCGGTCCTCCCATTGCGGGTCCTCACCATCTGTGAGAAAGAATAGAATAGAATAGAATCTTAGAATTTTTTGGTGTCAATAACTCGCACGACAAGGAAATCAAAGGAATATGATTGTTCTTAACAGTTACATAGCCTCCCGAAGATAAGTACGGACATTTTCGCACCGATCCGCGAGACTCTAATAAACCGGCTTGTGACTCGCGACTCCTATNTTTTGGTGTCAATAACTCGCACGACAAGGAAATCAAAGGAATATGATTGTTCTTAACAGTTACATAGCCTCCCGAAGATAAGTACGGATGCCTCTGCACCGATCCGCGAGACTCTATTAAACCAGCTTGTGACTCGCTACTCCTATGAACCTAGTGCTCTGATACCAACTTGTCACGACCCAAACTAACCCTCCATAAGTTGTCGTGATGGCACCTAGTCTTTACGACTAGGTAAGCCTAATATTACGAAAAATATAAAGAAAAAAACATTTTAAAGATAACCAGCATATTGTGAATAGCCAAGAATAGTACCACTCGACATATACAAAATAATTTTCCAAGACCCGGAATATCACTAAGTCACAAGCTGTTATAATCTATGTAGCTCTATACAAAAGTCCGAAGACAATAAAAAAGGTCTCTAGGCGAGGGAGTAGAAGGGGACTCCGAATATTTGCGGACACAAGCAGAAGTATCTTGAAGTCTCCTAGAATCAGCAGCACGCACTAACCCCAAAGCTGATAGCTCGTACTTGGATCTGCACACGAAAACATGTACAGGAAAGGGCATGAGTATACCACAATGGTACCTAGTAAGTGTCAAGCCTAACCTCGATTGAGTAGTGACGAGGTCAGGTCAAGGCCCTACCGGAGTAAATATAATAAATTAAACAGTAAAAGGTATAAGTAAAATTCACGGTAACACAGTTAAAGAAACTCTCGAAAATTTAACAGTTAAGGGAGTCCTCGACTCAGAACAAGGTAAACACAGTGGGGAATCTCCCGGTATACCGTCCCGTAGTTCCAAATGAATATGCAGTACATGGGGATCTCCCGGAATACGTCCATAGTCCCAAAGTAAATATGCAGTGCTAGGGGATCTCCCGGAATACGTCCATAGTCCCAAAGTAAATATGCAGTGCTAGGGGATCTCCCGGAATACGTCCGGAGTCCTCGACTCAGAACAAGGTAAACATAGTGGGGAATCTCCCGGTATACCGTCCCGTAGTTCCAAATGAAGGGGATCTCCCGGAATACGTCCATAGTCTCAAAGTAAATATGCAGTGCTAGGGGATCTCCCGGAATACGTCTGTAGTCCCAAAGTAAATATGCAGTGCTGGGGGATCTCCCAGAATACGTCTGTAGTCCCAAAGTAAATATTCAGTACAGGGGAATCTCCCGGAATACGTCTGTAGTCCCAATTTAAATATGAAATGCAAGATAAAATGGCAGGTATGTCATCGAGTTATACAGTTTATACTGAACACATATAAGGAAAGTAGGGACTTAACTAAGCATGGCACACAAAATGTCAAATAGGCAGTTGGAACATGTAAGCATGCTTCTCTAACCTAAGTTTAACAAATAAACGTATTAGTGTAATTTAATAAGGAAAACACTTTATGATTTAGAAGGTAAAAACGGGATTTTTACAATAATAGCCCGTGTACGTACTCGTCACCTCACGTACACGACGCCCACACATCAATTAATATCAAACATCTTAAAGGAAAGTCCCCAACATAAGGTTAGGCAAGCCACTTACCTCGAACCGCTCAAATCACCTCGATAACACGTTCTTGCCACGAGTATCCGACTCCAAATAGCCCGAATCTATTCAAATAAATTGCATAATATAAATATAATTACAAGTAACTAATTTAGCTAATTAATTCGAAGCTAAAGCGTGAATTTAGGAAAAACGCCCAAAAAGTCTCCCCGGGCCCATGTCTCGGAATCGGATAAAAATTATAAATTATGAACACCCATTCACTCACGAGTTCACTCGAACAAAAATCATCTAAATCTGACGTCAAATTCCCATTCAAATCTCAGATTTTAATTGGGGAACACTTTCCCCCCATTTCCAAACATCTACCCTCAATTTCCTTAATTAGACGAGGAAAACAACAATAGATAAATGTATTATGATCAAAATAGAGTTAGAATTAGTTACCCAATAGTTCTCCTTCAAAATCGCTCGAGAAATCGTCTCCCACCGAGCTCTAAATCGAATTTGGTATTATGAATTTTCAAACCCTCGAAATCCTCTTTTCTGCCTAGCGATTTCCGCACCTGCGGACCTAGGACTGCACCTGCGGACAATCCATCGCAGGTGCGAAGGCCACTTACTTGGGCTGGGTCCGCACCTGCACACATTAGTCCGCAGCTGCGGATGCGCTTCTGTGCTCAATCGTCTGCTTCTGCGGAACCTTGGGTCCTTCACAACTCCGTATCTGCGACTGCCCTTCCGCAGTGCGGCTCCGCTCCTGCGGCTCACTCGTCGCATCTGCGACCACTGACTCCCTGGCCTAAAAGCGCACCTGCGATCCCATCCTCGCTTCTGCGAGGGCGCACCTGCGGACTCCCCACCGCAGGTGCGAAAACACCAGAACTAGCAACTCCAAAATTCCTCTAAGTCCAAGTTCATTTCGTTAAGCATCCGAAACACACCCAAGGCCCCCAGGACCTCAACCAAACATACCAACCAATCCTAAAATACCATACGAACTTAGTCGAGCCTTCAAACCAGGTTGAACAACACCAAAAGCATGAATTAAGCACATATTCAAGCCTAAGAATTTAAAATTTTCCAAATTCTACAAACGACGCCGAACCACATCAAATCTAGTCTGAATGACCTCAAATTTTACACACAGGTCACAAATGACATTACGAACCTACAGCCACTTTCGGAATTCTATTCCGAGCTCGATATCAAAATTTCCACTATCGGCCGAAATCGCTAAAAAACTAACTTTTGCCAATTCAAGCCTAAATCTACTACAGACCTCCAAAACACATTCTGGACGCGCTCCTATTCCCAAAATCACTCAACGGAGCTAATGGAGTTGACGAAATTCCATTCCGGATCCGTCTTCACATAGTTCTGACTACGGTCCAAACTCTAAGGCTTAAACTCACAACTAGGGACTAAGTATCCCAAAACTCCCCGAATTCCATAACCAAACACTCCGACAAATCCCAAAAGCATAAACAAATATGGGAAAAGCAGATATTAGGGGATCGAGGCTCAAATTCTCAAAACGACCGGCCGTGTCGTTACAGTCATTTACACCTAATATGAGTTTACAGAGTATTACAAGATCTAGAGATCTTCTTTAACTTTACGGTTTAACAAAAGGATTTTGGAAGGAAAAGAACCAATCTTCTAGAAATATAAAATTTCAACGTTATCGAAAACAGAAAAGGAAAAAATATGTGTATAATTTATGTATTACTATGAGATATAACTATATTTGGTTGTGGGGGCTAAAAGTGTTAAAACGTAAAAGCCCATATAGGGGAAACCCATGACAAAAACAGGAGCGGAATAACATAAAAAGATTAAGGATAAATATGGAAGTACGAAAAAACTTTGCTTATAAATTCTAGTTTTGCAGGACAAGGGTTGTGTAGATCAATTGAGAAATGTTGGGAATCGGATCTGTATCGACAGGGACTTCCGCGGAGAAGAGGCAACAACCACAAGTTGCCGCCGAGAAGAGGGAAAAAGGAAGATGCGAGAAGGGATGCGTGAAGGTGTTAACCGAGGAGATGAGGCGAAGAATGGCAGGAGGAGGAACGTCGACACTGACAGCGGCGGAGATTGAGCAAAAAGTTGCAGAAGGAGGGGGATACCTCAGGGGGTTTAAACCACCAGCCAATTACTCTTATGAAAAGTATGCCAACGATAGCGACGACGAGCTTTTGCCTGATCACGCTTTGCCTGAGCATCGCCCTGATTTTTACCATATTTGGCGTCATTATCACCACCAAGCTGCACAAACCAATGTATGTATTGTTTCCTTCCTTATAGATATATATCATGTGCTTTATTTATATAATATTTAGTGTATTATGCATCTCGACTAATTCAACCGAAGTACCTGGTCTGATTTGGGCAAACAATTACTTACATGTTGTTTAGGCCAATTTTTTCTTTATCAAAACTAAACCACCGTAGTACAGTCAAACTTTCTCTATAATAGCCTCGTTTGTTCCGATATTGTTTGGCTGCTATAGTGAAGTGACGTTATAGAGTACATATGTTATAACATAATATAAAAATCGGTTTCGAGAAAAATATGGCTTTTATAGTGATGATTGTTATATGGGATGCTGTTATATGGGATGCTGTTATAGAGAGATGTGACTGTATATGTCTCACTAATTGTAAGCCAATGGAGATGTTTTTGCCCTGATAACACAAGTTTCCCCATTGTCCATGAATATGATTTAGTTTTTTTCTTTGGTTATTCGAATTGGATAGAGTTTTTGTGATTTTCATGTCTTATTTATTACTCTACTGCTTTGCTTCCTTTGGACCTAAATCTTGTTAGGAATTCATGACTCTTTTGGTTCCTCTGGCATACCATTAGACCTTCAGCTGATTTCCTTGACCCCCTCTCCTCTTTAAAACTAATTGACCGTTCTGTTTCCCTATAAAAATACCAGAAAAGGTACTTTAGTTTCGTGTGGTTGGATTTTGCCCGTTGGCGCTTCACCTGAGCATCACCCTCAATTTTTCCTTATTTGGTCACTTTACCACCGGCAAACTCAACCAACCAATGTTTGTTTGCTTCCTTTCATTTTAAGTTCTCTCGCCTTAACTTCCATATACATTTGCATGTCGTGTGCTTCTTTATTTNCAGTGTTGTAAAGCGCTACAGCGCTGAGGCGAGACAGCATCGCTATTTTGGTCTGTTGCGTTGCGAGGAAGAAAAGGCGAGCGCCTCTGCATGTGTAGCGAGAGGCGCTGCGAGGCGTCGCTTTTTGAATAAAACGGAAGAAAAGGCAGCATTAATATTAAAACACAAAATTAGGGCTTGGGTTTCACTTTTCTCCTTCAGCGACGAGCAGCGACCTTCTTCTTCTCCTTTAGCGACTTTCGATCTTCTTCTTCTTCCATCATCAGCCATCATCACCAGGTATGTTACTTTCTTTTCTTTTCTTCTTCTTCTCCTTTTTTCTTCTACTTTCTTCTTCCTCTATTTCAGCAGCGACTTCTTCTTCTTTTTTCTTTTTCTTCTTCTTTCTTCTTTCTTCAATCATTCAATGATCAGCTCTTTCTTCTTTCTTTCTTCATTTTTCTTCTTCTTTCTTTGCTGATTTCCAGAGGCAGTGGCCTTTTTTTGGCTCTGTTTTTCTTCTTCTTTCTTTGCTGTTAGTTTCTTCATTTTTCTTCTTCTTTCTTTGCTGTTTTCCAGAGGCAGTAGCCTTTTTTTTTGCTCTGTTTTTCTTCTTCTTATTAATATATTATTGTTATTGAGTTTTTAGTTATATGTATATAATATTTTATGTTTTTGTATAAATTGTCGCTTCACATCAAAAAGGCGAGCGCTTCGCTGCGCGCCTCTCGCCTCAGTGAAGCGGACCCTCGTAGCTATTTGTCGCCGCACGCTACCCAAAACACTGTAGTTCCATATACATTTGCATGTCGTGTGCTTCTTTATTTATATATTTGTTGTGTAGCACACCAGGTACCTATTACTTCTACTACTGAGTAACACTGTCCGCTAGGGTTAGGCAGATAAAAAGGAAACAAAAGCTTCTTAAATTTTTCTTTTCTCATTCATATTGCTAATTTGTGTATTAGACCTTCCAAATAACATTGATAATCGTCATGTTTGTCTGATTCTAAAGCCTGTTATTTTTAATCCTTTGGGCAAAAAATAATTGCATGTTGTTAGTTCAAATTTTATATCGAAGCTTAGACCATTTGTAATCTGTTTCACTAATTTTAAGCCAATTCAGTTCCTAAGTTGCAGTATCAAGTACTAAATAGGAGTTGTTTTATGTTTATATGTTTCCACTGTACACGAATATGAATTTAGCTGTTACTTAGGGTATTTGAAATGTTAGAATGTACATATATTTTCTTCTCAAAAGAATGTATTTATTTAATTATGTATGGGGGATAACATGTTAATCATGTGACCTCTGAGCCTTCTCCGCTCATACTGGTACCAAGCCC